TATATATGGGCCATTCCACGTCAAATCGCACATGAATGTGAACACCTGGAAACTGTTCCGTAGTTTCGAAGAGATCTAATGAACTTTTTGACGTCTGAATAGTTGAATTTGTCCCGTCTCTTTTTTAGAGAGCTCTTCAGGAGCAGTTTTGAAATTACAGAGTCTATACATAGCGGCTGGAATTTTTAAGCAGTTTTTAAGGTATTTTAAATGTAGCTAATTTCTAGATCATAATTCTTGAATGAACATTTTTTTCCTTTATTTGTTGTAATTACCAGCAGATATTGTTTTTCACTTTTATACACGGTTCAGATTTTATTTTTCACTTTTATACACGGTTCGGATTTTGTTTTTTATTTGTTTGCATGGAGTACTGTTGCATTCCTTTGAAATTGGGTCAAACTGCTTTAGGTTGACGGGGAAGGGTCATTCGAACAGAAGTGGTGGTTGCGGACGTTCGTATACAGGGGATAAATCTGAAGCCTTAAAAGTAGTTTGCGTAAACTTTGATTATTATATTGTTATATTATCTCTCTACTTATAAAAGTGTTATTGGTTTTTTTACTGGTATCGTGCTGTTCTAGTTTCTGAGTACAAGTCCTGAGGAAGTTTTGTGCTCTGCTACATCCAGTTGCACACGAAAAAAGTCTTCACGAAAGGTTGTGCGCTCTTTGGTCCAGAGGAGGGGAAGAGATTGTACATCTGGACACAAAATCCAGGTTAGTGTGCTGGTTACAGGTCCAGAACGCCATCACTTTTCCTTTTTTGGTGGCGAAGATGCATTTGCTGAGTCGGTTTTATCTTTATAGGTACGATGGAAGAGTTCGCGGAGGGCTGCTAACGGGAACTTCTGCGAGCGTTTGCTGGAAGAACGCGTAAAGGCTTGTGAAGAGAAATGCAAGGAGATGGAAGCTGTTGTTGTGGAACTTGGTAGACATAACCGACAGCTTTCAGAAACTAATGAGGAACTCACGCAAATAATAGACCAGCTTAGTAAAAAAGTCCTTGTATGTTCTTTTCGCTATTATTAAATATCTAAGTAAGCAGATTTTATAGTTGCTCTTGATTTTTCTCACCTAAAGACGTGTAAAATCGTCAACTTGCTTTGATGTGTAAGTATTTTGGTAATTGTGACTTTTATCTTAGGTTTTTTGAATTTTTTATTTGCCAGGTTTCTTTACTCTTGTTTTCATCATTACTTTTTGTTTTGGTAGTTAGTCTGTCTAGAATTTCGATAGCGATGTGTCGGGTGGATGGAAAAAACTGATCCACTTCGCTATCCCAGTGCCAGCCGATCTTAAGTATGAACGACAGTCCCCAACTGAAGTCTTGTTGAAATGGAGCCACTGTTCTGTTGTGCAGCCGACAGGTTTGAATGTTTTTTTACTAGCACTTTCAAAGATATAATAGAAGTTTCTGGAATAAATTTTTTCTGCGAAATTAGGGTTAGTATTCTTCTTGATAAGCAAGAGTTTTAGGTTACGGATTTACAGTGAATGGTGATTTTATTGGAAAAAGCCATACTTCCTGTAATCAAACGCTTATTAGCGACCTTTTGCCCGATAAAGAGGCTACGTGAGTACTGAAAGCTTTATGTTAATTTCTTGATATTACCAGTGGTTCAGTTCACTTCATATTTCTTCAACCAATTCTCAGTTTATTCTCCAGTAATTTTATTTACTCGCAAACGTTTTTACATAATATGGCAGTGCTTCGTTGGAGTTATGCTTTAATACCGTATTTAAAAACATCGAGCTTAAAAATTTGTTATCACGTAGATTGAATGATATTCATTTAGAATAAGAATTCACTGTTACGTCGATGACATCGAAGGCGAGCCCTCACTTCCACTGTACATCCCTCCTTGTAGTGGTAGCTCGGTGCGGGTTTGTTCAGTACTAATTTACCTTTCATTAAGCTGCATCTTCATTTTTCTTTCTGCAGTTATTCTGGTGGTTTTCTTTACATTTTTTAATGAGCACAGCAAAATATTTCTTAGGTGTTGGGAATGGAGAATGAAGCGAAGAATAAGGTTGTATGACTTTTCAAAGCGTTTTTTGGATTATATTTTTGACTTGGCACCTAGCCTTCATTTCGTGGTGTTTTTCTAGCTTTTATTTGCTCTCTTAATCTTATTTGAATTTTTCTGTAGCAAACTTTCTGTCGACTTTTTTTTCCACATGCGTTGTTGTGTATGTATTTCGTTGTTGGTCTTGCATTGTTTTGAAACGGGAGACTTTATTGTTGGGCTGGTTTAAAGAAGAGGCCGTAATTTAAGCTCACTGCACTGTATCTTTTTTCAATTGTAAACATTTATTGTTAGCATTACCCTTAATTTCTAATTGTAGTATGTACTTCAGATGACTGTTATAGAAGATTTTAGTGGATCACATTGTCCAGTTATATGTAGACCAGTTTTTTTTTGTTTTGTTCAAAGTGATCTCCTAATTGTATATTTTAATTAATTTTATGTCGTTCAAGTCCTTTACACAGTTTTGCCTATGGAACTGATCTCAACAGTTAATTTTTTTAGTTGCATGAACGTTCATGTAATTTATGAAACCTATTAGATTTGTTACACTCTATTTATTCATTGTAATTTATTACCGATTAATACATGTTTTTTCACACTATATTTTGTTAACATTGTTGACACTAGTTAATTCTCTTAATAGTTGCTTTTTGACCAAAGTTGTTGGAATATCTAAATGAGCATTTGTGGACCTGACTGCGCTAAGAATTTTTCTTTTCGCAATAGGATTTTCTGGGAAGGTTGCTAAATTGTGCTACAGTCATATAACTTCCAGTCGTTTAATTAAGGTGTGCGAATCATTGTTTCTTGCTGTATTATATTTGAGGACAGACTTTCAATTTGCGGCTAGTCATTTAGGAATTAAACCTCACCTCTTCGTTCTAGGTGTGTTGTGTAGATATTAAATATTTGTGCCAAGAAGTTTTTAATGGTTGTTAAGAGAACTCAAGTTAGGAAGTCCTGTCATATAGGTGCTCTTAAACTTCGTGTGATGCGGGTTTTTTTCATCAGAGGCCTCACAGTTGATCCGGTTGCAGGTGGGTTTTGTCCTTGAAAGGTTGTTTTAGGATGCTTGTTTTATTGGTTTGATTTTGTGGTTTTTATTTGAGAGATGGTTTACTGAGTCGGGATGTAATGTGTTGGATGTATTAGGCAGAAGTCTTCCCAAAATTTAATTACGCTGTAAACAAGTTCTTGATTGCTTCCAAGGTGAGTGTAGTCCTGTGCTACGATGGACGTGATCCAGCATAGGATCTTATGAATAAATAGGTTTCTTCTGTTTCGGCCTTAGAATGTTAATTCATAAGTTGGTGATGGAAGTGGTTTTTAGACGCTACTTCGGTTTAGCTCCTTCAGATGATGATCTTGACTTGATTTAGGTAACATATGTCATTACCTTTTGCGCATGACAGCCCTAACTGTGCTTAGTTTACTTCAAGTGATCTCGAGAATATCTGCGCATTTCTTCTACAGTGTTGTATAATGGTTATTTTAATTGTTGATGAGTTTTAAGAGGCCGAGGTTTTGGCCTTCATTATAATAGATATCGATTGGTTCTATAACTGCAGCTTTAAAAATCTGAAATGCTGAAGTTTGGCTTTATGCAGATTATTACTTACATTTGCTGATCTCTGGCCAGCTCAAAATTATCCACGTAACTAGGTCTTTTAAGATTTCGAGCACAGATAACTTAAAGTCATCAATTACTCTTCTCGATGGCGTTATTTCTGCTATCATTCCTACTTCCAAAAACTTTATCGCGGCCTTCAGAAGCGGCCCTGGATGGTTTCCCCAT